AAATGATGCTAACCAATTATTTTCGATGATTGATCATGGGTTGTACTAAACCAATCATCAATTATGAGATTTTAACCAATTCCCAACACTATTGTTTACTTCATTAGAAATAAACGACAGCCATGTCGAGTAAACCTGTCAACAGGAAAGTAGTATTTGACAGGCCATAAGTCCTGTGTCCTTCTAGTACATTTCTCTGTGTATTAATAACTTCTCTAAAATGATATGTCCTTCGTATCATAACGTCCTCCCTGTCCAGTTATTAATGTTGGGAAAACCTCTGCTCATACAACCAGTTGTACTACAAGTATTAATGTATTCAGAAATAATTTCCCTAAATATATTAGAACTGTGACTCTATTTGTCAAATTATATACTGTAAACGTACTTATTTTCGCGTGGTGCAATTTTCGCGGAATTGACAGTTTAGACTACATCGCGCGGTCAATTATTCGCGCAATATCAGTAATTGCCGGAATGAAGCTCTTTGTGATTTCAAACAAGCCGGGTTGTTGTGAATGAGATGATTGAGTGTTAAGTGACTATTCGCTTCATGATGTACTGGTAAATAAAATCTTAATGAATAAATAAAATACTGCTGTATTATTTCTTTCATAGTCGTTTCATGGTAATCTGTTTTGTATCAAACCATCTGTCATGTGACCAATTTCCATGGCGGCCACAACACACATTGCTGTTTTCGCTAATTCGGCGATGGGATTTGGCTCATTATTTAATTATATTTTGGGAAATACATTACAGTGACAGTTAAGTATGATTCTTTATGCTACTATCAGTCGTCATTTTAAGATTCCCGTAGATTTCTGTCTTCAAACTTTATGTGTTATGGTAACAACTCAGGGGCGAGCGTGGCTAGACTGAATGAATGACAGGTTTATTCGCGGTGTATAAATTTTCACGCTAAAATGTTTTGCGCGAAATATAATACGTTTACAGTATTTGTAAAACATATGGCCTACCAGTAACCAGAAATGGGAGCACCTTTAGAATTCAGCAACACCACTTCCTGTGTGGCTGGTCACTGCTGTAAGTCACACGTCACGAAGACAAGCAACCAGTTTTGTGAGAATCTGTCTTAATAATTATGAAATTAATGCTGTTTGATTGTAGTAATACAATTAACCGAAGGTGACAATCACTCTAAGCCTGCTACTTTGGCATCATGGAGGACCACAAAAATATTGCTCTCTTTTTTATCAAATTCACCTGTATTGGGGTGCAATGCAACAGGATATCAGTTTGGCGCATGTACACTGTTCGCTTTCGCAGAAGAAAGTGTGTTATATTGTTAATGTTATATATTAAAATATCCACATCAGATTTGTCATCCAACAATTAAGAGTTTTGCGGACAAATATTTTCAGCATTTAACAAAGAGGTTTATTTGGTGAAGACATCCCTTGTGCACAGTATTCCAGAAATATTACGTCTGCTGAGCATCTGCTTAGTGAGCAGAAGATCAGTTGTTTGATTCCGAACCCTGTTATAGCAAAAGGTGTTTTAAGGCAGCACTTGTTTCCCTGCCTGGGGCTCAGTGTTAAAGGAATAAAACATGGACTGGTACATGGTCTGCTTGGAGCCAGAATACTGGGTCTGTTCCACAAAACAATCTTAAGAACTAACGTGACCGTAACTCTGATACTTCAACAGTATTTGCTCAGATGGCTTCGTAGAATGCGCCTCTGTTCATCTTAAACAGAGTTTCATATTGTTTCGTCGTCGAAACCAGGACAAGGAAGTACACACACATGCATGAACATCGCAAGTGCAATAATGTCAAATGTGACGCCACATCCCAATCGCTTCCTCTTGAACACAGGGCTTAATCTAATCTTCTGACTTACATAACTACTGCGTTGCCCCGCTGCAGCCCTGGTTCTTCATGTGTCTCCGCAATGCCCTACGGTACCGATACACCTTCCCACACACACAGGAATAGGTCACATTCATGTGTACAGACTCCATATGGATCTTCTTGGCGATACACTGAGTGAAGGTTTTCCCACACTCCTCGCACTGAATATTGGACACCCTGCTCCCCCGGTCGAGATCGGACTGAGAGAAATCTCCCAACATGTAACCCATAGGCACAAGAGAAGGCTGGACAAGTTCCTCAAGAGATCCTGATGGATACCTCCACAGTTCTTTCAACTGAGAATTGTCACAACCATTGCCTGAAAAAGGGATGAGAACCAGTTAATTGGACGCCTTCAATATTTTTAAAATTTAGCAACTTAGATTCTGACAGTTTCAGTCCAAATGGAAATGAAGAGATCCTTTCACTGATGGAAAATTTCCTTAGATGTAATCAAACCTAGTGTGACTTCCTACATCGAGTGACTTTACCAATGGGCTCAGAGTTCTGGCTTACTTACAACGTGAACTGTGGTAAAATGTCACCTGTTAGGTTTGGTCGTACTCTTTTGTATTGTCTTGAGAATGATAAGCAAGGTTGCAATCAGCACCATCCACGAGTCGGTTTGTCTAATGCTTAAGATATCCTGAGGACTTCTAGAAATTTAGACTTCATGTTAGGAGTTCTCACGAACCCTGAAGATGAATCTCTGAACAACTAAGCTAGGATCCAGCATTGATGTCTCTCTCCCCTCACCTAGTTTTTATCACTTTATGGAAATTTGTTTTTGTAAAAACTCAGAAAAAACCTTCTTTCCTGACTGAAGTGATGTTTTCATCCCTGTAACAATTAGCTACAGAGCAGGAATACTACTTGACTCGCAACTTAAATAAATGCGCAAAATCTTTTGAAAGAAAATGTGTTCCGACAGCAAATGGATGTAATTCTAATTGTGCAGTCAGGGGAGGTAACTCCAGGCTGTGGAAAGTACAATGTCTTTGCCATCAGGTCCAACAATCTGACTCGTAACAGCTTTTGTTGTCATAAGCAATACAGTTTGTGACCATTATTCTGTTGTAATACAAATTCTAATTACTTTTATTTTGTGTTTTAAGGTCTTGCATGTTTTTCGAACAGGTGCAACTGCTAAAAGTCCAGTACATGATTCCAACAACATCATAAGCATGTGTTTGTGATTCACTATCAAACAGTGAGGCTGTTATCAAAACAGCGTATTCTGCCCTACAAGTGACTCCCAATACATGCAAAGGCAAGGCAAGTCTTATTTCATTTTCAATTTCAGTGTACAGCAAGTAAGAGGTTCCATCAGTATCTAGTGGTGTGACGATTCATCGATACACATCGATGCATCGATCCATGGGCCGCCGATACAATGAATTGATACAAAGTTTTACATTGAAGTATATCCCGATCCGATACTTCAAATGGGCCACAATACATCAATGTTTAACTTTGAATATTGTCGAATCGTGATATCTGTCAAGAAAAAAGACTTACTTTTGTTTGATGATTAAAATATATGCTTTCTTTTTTTTTCTTCATAAGTAAATGTTTTCTCGGAAATTCTTGCAACAAGAACTGTGTCAGACATAGCGGTCACATGTTATTAACATTCACAAAGTCCATGTATAAACTTAATGATGTCATTTCCGAATAAACATTGAAAAACGCTGGCGGAATTTGACGAAATAATTTAAAATGGTTTTGTTTTGATCTTAAGGTGTTTTATAGTTGGTGTTAGAATTAAAGATTTTACTATCGTGATACTGATACGTATCGTATTGCCACCCTTATATCAGGATTCATATCGTATCGCAGCTTCAGTGCACAATACTTCGGCAATATATCATCGTGACTAAAATTTTAGTATCGTGATGTATCGTATCGCAGGTTGTATGCCAATACCAGCACTATCAGTATCTGTCCAATGGGGTTGTGTGCACATGATCTATGCTGTCCCTGCCGCCTCACCCAGCTGACATCACCGTCGCCAAAATCAAGAAGATGCTTGCTCTTTCCACAATATTCTTGCACTCAACATTTATCATCATACACATGATCCACGCTGTCCCTGCCGCCTCGCTCACCTCACTTATCTCCAAGGTAACGACAATCACTAGGGCTGTGTATTGGCAAATAAATTGTATTGCAAAATATTGCGATGCAGGTACCCCTATTGAGATATATTGGGACAGGAAGTGTTTGACAGAGTGACACCAATTGTGCATGTGAATACTATTGTCTACATCCCTAAACATACACAGAGCTCCAGATAAGATTTAGCTCATGTGGGTACTGTACCCACTGTATTCTTTTGGAGTGGGTATTATGAATGTTGAGTGGGTATTTCATTTTCCGTTACCCACTGCTTTCAAATATGTGCGTATTTCAGTCATTTTACTCACCTAAGTATATGTCATTGAGTAAGTTTACTAAGCAGGTATGTTCTGAGTTATGTCATACCTAATCAAAACCAACTTAAATATAATGGAAATGATTTCATAAAAATCACTCATCCTATACTGACAGTACAACACTTGTCCTATACTAACAGTACAACTTGATAGCAATCTATGTGTTTTTCATTACACAAGCGATTTTTATAAATATATTCCGTACGCATTTGTTTTAAACCTTTTGAGTATCTAACATTTTAAATGCGTAATTGGTATGCAACAATTATTTTTTCAATGCGTAATTGGAAATTTTCGATGCATATTTTACCCGGATACGCAGCTTATCTGGGCCTCTGATACATGTTATGGTTCTGTTAACAGCAATCTCAAAATTAGGTTTCATTGTCGTGGATTCCATTTTCTTTTGTATAAAATATATAGGATTACAATATGCCGCTTTGTCCTTGAATAACAAAGGAAAACGTGTGTTGTGATGGAAATTATGTGTAGATTATAATTTAAACCATAAAGATAATCACAAAAATATCTTATATGTTCTTTCTCAGATAAAAATATTGCAATACGTATCATTTGAAAAGTGTATTGCGACATACCGTTAATACCGTGTAGCCCTAACAATCACAGCTCTTTTGGAGTGTATAGTACGGTTGTATTCGAACGATTGTCAAACACCACAAAGAGTTCTGTCTGGTTGAATTTCTTTATTATAAACACAATGTCATCGTGAAAAGGTTTCGAACATACAAACAGATCAGGGACACAGGATCCCAATGCTGATGAATCCCTCAACACACTGTCCTCATGTCTGATGACATCATATACACAGAAACTGATCAGTATGTCTCATGGAAACTGAACCTGAAAATGGTTCTCTCTGAATATATACATCCTTGTATTCTTATGTCTACCACAATCAGACATTTAGAAAACACATATCATGTCTTCTGGAAATGTTATCGAGTTTGAGCTAACTTCCCCAGTCATAAGACTTCAATCATGTCGCACATTGCGCAGCAAGATCATTTTTTCAAGGACATGCAGTTTTGTATTTTGCATCGTCTTGTGTGTTCGTCCTACTTTTGACAGGAGTATATTTCCTCAAGGACACAAACTAACCCTCAGAATGTTAAGTGTACATTCGAATAGAACAACAAACCTGATTATCCCTATCAAATACTGAGTTGTATATTATTATTATTATTATTATTATAGGATATTTATATAGCGCACATATCCAGGCAACTAGTGCTTGCTCAAGGCGCTGGTATTTTTTCCCTCGATCATTGGATGTCAGTCTCAACTGCACATCGTGTTATCAATCTCAACTCCCTGGGGAGTATATCATCTCAAACATTATTTTAGCAAACCGAGACAACATTTCCTTGACGTACATTACTGACGTGTGTGTATGCACAGGCAATATGAATAATTCCTTAATGGTATTTCACTGAAAAAAACGAAACAAAAAATATCGCCATACAAGCCTATCAAGGAATGAAAAGTTACACATTCTCCAAGTTTGGTCCAGTCTTGATACAATTTGAATTAAAATGGAATCAAATTGAAACAAATTCTTGACAGATGACCACAATCATTTACACAATGGGGTATTCAACACACATCACACCCAATACAGCTGGAAAATAGACAATGACTTTCTGTTATAATGTGTCCCATTCCAGGGAAAATAAGAAATATACACTGTATACATTCAGAGACCTATATGTTGCTTTTATCTGTGGAACATTTCTTTCCAGTTTCTTAATTTGACAATTTTAACTCAAATAAATATATCTAATGATGACACAACAAAACATTCTTTATAATCAAGGAAATATGAACAGAGATAAAGACGGTCTTTTATCAGTTTTCCATTTCCTTAAATGTGAATAATAGCATCTTAAAAGGAAGAAAGAAAATAACATTGAGACAAATAAAAGGGCTCTTCCACTGAAAATAGTTATTTCAGTAACTTAAATAATAAGTGTATCAACATGTTTTTATTTTAACTTCTAAACTACTTTTAGGAAATAATATGTAACGTGGATGCGGCATAGGTATGTGTTCAGGTTCAACAAATGTCTTCCTATCCTAAACAAAAGTTCACTTGCAGCTTCTCAAAATGCATTCCTGCATAAAATTGCTAAGAGTCACCTTTCAGCAATGACAATATTTTCCTAACAACACACAATGTTCACAACACAACATTCACTGTTCCTCAGTGTATCCTTGAAAACCTTGAAATATCCATGTTGTGGCAGAATTTTAACTGACAAGTAAGGTCTGCGAGTTTTATTTCCACATGTTAAGATTTTTCTGACAGACAAAAGTAAGTCAGGGTCAGAAAGGAATTCATTTTTAAAGGAATTCAAACCATTTCAATGAAACATTTCTCGGATGTTTACTACATGTTGAATCCCACAAGCATGGATATGGTGCTTGCAACCCCAAAATCATAATTTGTGGTGAACAGGGATTCAAACTGATCATAGGTTCCTAGCTTGCCCAAGGGAAGCAACTCTGCACACCAAACTGAGGTAGCTCAGACAGGGTCAATTTTAATCCTAAAAATGGAGATAAATATCCCAAAGAGTCCATGCTTGTATCTCCAGTACTAAACAGCCTGACAGACATTTAACTGAGACAACAAACAATTCCTCAAAAGAGAGGTCGGTGGGTAGACTAGTGGTATAAGCCTTCCCTTGTAACGCTGAAGACCCAGGTTCAATTCCCAACATGGGTACAATTTGTGAAGCCCATTTCTGGTGTTCCCTGCTGTGATATTGCTGGAATATTGCTAAAAGCAGCGTAAAACCAAACTCACTCACTCACTCCTCCACAGAGAAAATAGAACTTTTTCCCTATGTGCAAAATCAATCCCTTACTCAGTGGGGTCCCATGTAATGACAGAGGTGGGATAATCAGTATGCATAACACTGGAAGGAACTAGCGGGCTGGGGTTCATTGTCAGAGCACAGGGTTTGCTCTGTCGCAAGTGTCTCTGCAAGCCAGTCCTGTACTTGTAGGCCTTCCCACAGACACAGGTGAAGTCCAGCTGCTGGTGAACAGCTTCGACATGGAGAGTCCGCGCCCGCGAGGTCATGAACATTTTGCCACAATCGGGGCACCGATGCGACCCCGTGATCTCAGACCGTACCTCCTGCTGATGCGACATGCCAGGATGGTGTGTGATACCAAAGTATGAACTCCTATAACCATGACAACCTGAAAGAAACAAGCACCGTCATGACTGGGTTGTTGTTATTGGTTGGCACCAAGTGGTCAATAGTAAGCACACGCACACGCACACAATGATTAAAGTCAAAGCGTAAGAAAGCTAAAGTAAAAACCAATGAAACTCAAGGATGAAAATGAATCTTATAGAATCCTATGACGGAACAGAAACAGGGTCCTGACAAGATTCCTAATTTACTGATTATAGCTTTACACCACATTTTGACAATATAGCATCAATACCACAGTGGGGAACAGAAATAGACTCACATGTGACGAATCAAACCTCAAGTGTGACCAGCAAACACTGTACCCACGGTGCTACCCTTCTATTAACATTAACTAAAGTTACATACTAACTTGGCATAATTTCAACATAAGAACCAGTCAGCACAAATGGCTTCCTACATCCTGACAGCTCAATAAAATATTGCACAAGATCGGAACCCAAACATTGCCAATCTTGGAATGTCTGATCAAAACCTTCTGAATAACTTTATGAACCGAAACACAAAAACTCCCACAAAAATATTTTGATATGAACAACACAAAGGAAGTTTTATCCTGACTTTTTAATTCTCCAAGATCTTAGTCCAGATGATGCCAACAACACCAAAGCTACATCAGATGACTACTGTCAACAAATATCTTTGTGCACTCGAGGTGATTGCTGGTTACAATTGGTGCTAGGTCAAAGTGACTACTGACAGTGTCAATCCTGGAGCAGGTGAAAGTGTCTTCCAGAAAAATTGGTGAAGGTGATTACTGACAATATAAGTCAAGGTGACTGCTACCAATATGAATGAGTGAGTGAGTTGGGTTTTCCACCGCTTTTAGCAATATTCCAGCAATATCACGGCTGGGGACACCAGAAATGGACTTCACACATTGTACCCATGTGGGTAATCAAACCCGTTCGTTCGGCATAATGAGTGAATGCTTTAACCACTAGGCTACCCCACTGCCCTGCTAGCAATATGACTCTTGGCATAGTTCAAGGTGACTGCTGTCAGAGTCAATCCTTTGGAAGGTCAAGGTGAGTACTTGACGTAGCTGTCAACATGGGACATGTCTTCTTATGTCTGCTGAGGCCTTGACAATACTGATAGACCTTGCCACACACACAGGAGAATTGAACCTTATTGTGGACAGACGACACATGATTCCACCGGGCCCCGTTACTAGAAAACACTTTGCTACACACGGAACATGGAAAGCCAGTTGTCATTTCATCACGATTATGTGTTACATGGAACAAGTTATCTTTGGAAGCCAAGTTGGACAACTGATGATCCTGGAACTTAAGTCCATGAACCTCTTCCAGACAATGGCTAGATTGGCCATATCCACAAATGCTGTCCAAACCATGATAATCTGAAAGTAACAAAAAGTTTGATCTAGTCCTTTCAATACAATTGACAAATCATTCAATGACTTTAATTAGATTAAAAGACATCTTTGGATGACACTGGACCATTCCTTTCTCATGGAACTGCCATAAAGATTATGGCTTAAACATCAAAATATCTGATTGAAGGCAGAATGTTCTTGTCTAAACAACTTTCATACCACCCTCAAAATACCCACCCTCATCAAACACACTTTCCATAAACGGGACTAAAATTGTCTCCTAGCAGTATTATTGAACAACTTACGATTTAAGTTTAACAAAAATGAGCAGACACTTTCTCCAGAATCACATGAAACCTCTTCAGAACCATATGTAACTTGACCAGCGAGTCTTTCCAAGCAATATTCCCACAATATCAAAGATGGGGAGACACCAGAACTGAGCATCACACTACGTACTCTACTGATAATCAAATCCTAGGACTCGCAATGATGAGCCCCATCACAGTACAACTATGCAACCAGACCACTCCCTTTGGTAAGATCAGACTAGGTTTCCAATGACATACCAGCTTGCTGTAACTGACCCACTGTCAAGGGCACAACAGTACAAGAAACCATTATTCCATTCATGAGGATGGACTCAGGTTTAACGAGATCTGATTTCAACAAAGAAATTGATCATCCTCTTCAAAACAGCTTGGCAATTTCAGGAATAAAATGATCGTTCATCATGGAATCAAGCCTTCCCATATTCCAGTGACCAATGAACATGAGCTTGGACTGTCCAATGCTCAGCCTTGTTGTCTGGAGAGGTCTGTATATATACTTGGCACAAAAGAACAAGAAAACTGTTGGGGCTTCACTGAAAGACAATTAGTCAAGTCATCAAGACTGACTAAGAGGTCCGTTTCTTCATCCTGAATGACTAGAATCTTTCTGACTATGAGGTCTATTTCTCTGCCCTGAATTACTTGCATGGTTATATAGGGCTCCAGATAATTTTTGAACACCAGGAGTACGTACTCCTTATTTTTTCAATATAGGAGTACTCGAAAACCTTAAGCCTACATTTAGAGTACTGAATGGAATTTAATGGAGTGTCAGTAATCTTGTGTTTCGTTTCATATATGCACCACAACATTGCTAGTCTTGTGTAAACAGGTCAGATAAATACGTCTGTAAATGATTCTAAGACCATACACCATTGCTGTGGTGCGTATCTGCTACGTTTTATAAATTATTTCCTACCGTATCGTGCATATTTTATATCCGTACATACACCGATACGGCCCTTATCTGGAGCCCTGGTTATAGCCTAAATCCCCACTATGGGGTGGGTTTGGCTTCTATCAGATCAAATCTGTGGCTTGCAAAAGCACACTGCAAGTCTTTTTGTGTCTGACAAAGCTCTGCTGATAGTTATAGACCTTGCCACAGATACAGTTGAACGACACATTTTCGTGAATGGCATTGACATGATTGCGTTTGGCTCCATGGCTAGCAAAGACCTTGTGACATTTGTGACATGGATAGCTGCCTAACGAAACGGGTCTGTCAGTTCTAGAGTGTGGCATCAGGGAATGACATCCATAGCTCGCCTGCCACAACTGACCACGACCTGAAAACAACAAAAGGTTCAGTTCTAGTCCACCATTGAAAACTGCAAGACATAATCTCCACAAATGCAAGGACCAGGCTCTGAAAACACATCACACCACATGTGGCCGTGCCATTTGAAAACAATGCCATGAAAATTATAAGAAATGACTGGAGAGGGTATCATTGGGGTGACATGGTTTCGACAAAGGAAACTGAAGTCTTACGTGTTTGTGGATTGGCAATAATTTGGAACACCAGTCGTGGACAGAGTGTTGAATTTGAGAATCCTAAAACTAAACCAAAATCATAAGTGTGGAAACAAGTGCGCATAGCCTTACACCTCTTCCAGAAGCATTCCTGAAATCACAGACTGGCAAAAGTAATCACCGGTGTTTGGAGTGGCGACTGACACAGGGAATCAAACACAGGTAAATGTGGAAACTGTGGACATTTTAACCATAGGCTGTCCCACTCAACCATTCAGACTGCAGTGCATAGAACAAATCGATGTGTTGAAATTTAATCCAATGCAAAATCTGGTCACAATTGGCTTCAGAATTAAACCAGGGCATATCCAAATATATCATCAAACACCTGCCCCTTCTGTATTGACTTCCACGGTCTTTCAAATGGACATTGTCCCCATTTCAACATTTTTAAGGGCTACACGCAGCATAAGAGACTGCTGTACTATAGATCAGCATTACAAAAACAAAACAAAAAATCCTGAGAAACAAAATACAATTCCAGATCAGGATCTAAATCTTTTCCAAGATAGGATATCCCAGTTCCAGGACATTTCAAGTCAGAGCAAATATCTGACAATGTTTCTTGTGTCGAAGATAGCTTTGAATGTACTTATAGGACTTCCCACAGACACACTGATGGCAAATTTTCTTATGAATGGCTTCAATGTGATTACGACGCGCACTTGTCCCAGAAAACACTTTGTCACAGTGCGGACATGGAAAGCTTGCAGAGGGAGGTTCTCGGAGCCTGGGCTGGCCTAACATTTCCCTGTGGGAATAATTAGCCAGTTGGAAATTGAACAGCTGAGGTCCAAATGAACTTGACAAACCATGACCATCTGCAATGAAGAACAGAATCTAAGTCCACCATGACACCACTGTTGTTATTTCTCTATTTTCAAAAAATTAATTCAAGACATGAATGACAACCCAACAGCAAACAGACGCTCTAAGTTTTTAAAATTGTCATTGCGAAAAAGCATCCATTTCTAATTTTATAGTCTGCTGTGACTGAGACAGACATATACAAGCAAACAAAAAAAAAGTCAGAAACTTTGAATGAGTTGAAGCACGAACCACTTGATTGACTCAATCTCACACTGACCTGGCTCACTTAGTGATTATGAGTTTAGTTTAACGCGAGTTTTAGCAACATTCAAGAAATAGGCTTCAGACATAGTAACCATGTAGTGAATCAAATCCAGGCCTTGATTGTGACAATCAAACACTTTAACTCGGGGATGGAAACAGGAAAATCTATTTTCAGCTGAAAACCTAATGGGGGGTTTGAATTGATCAATTTGAAATAAAATTGGCGGAAATCCACGGATCAGCGGAAAATTGACATCCCCGTTTACTGGGCTACCCTTCCCTCCTTATGTAGTGTATGACAAACATGAACCTCTCTATATCCATCAGTTGCACATGGAGCAGGATTTCCTATGTCGGATGAAGTTCTGTTGATAGTTATACACCTTCCCACACACGCAGTGGTAAAACAGCTTGTTGTGAATGGCATTGATGTGTTTTCTCCGGGTGCTGTGGTCAGAGAACACTTTTTCACACTTATCACAAGGATAACGGCGTTTAAGGTCAGAAGTGTCTGGGTTGGCTAACTGAGAAAGCCAACCTGTGTGGAAGCTGCCTTGAGCACCACTGCCAACAGAACCAGAAGCATGAACATCTGAAAGCAACAAAAAGGCAATTGCTAAACCTCCATCTTGAAGCACACTTGCAATGGCAAATAGGACTTTTTTTTACAGCTACTTCAACAAAACAGCTGACCCTGTTCCAGTTTCACCTATCCCCAAGAGAAATCACTTGGAACTAAAACTGGCTCATGACTGCCATTCCTGTTACACTACCGTTGGTCAAAATTCAACAGATCTGCCACAACTACAACTCTCTCTTATCCGGAGCCTGTTTTTCTCTTTCATCAATATTCCAGCAATATCACGGTGGGGACACCAGAAATGGGCTTTTCACATTGTAACCATGTGGACAACAGAACCTGGGTCTTCAGCATGACTTGCAAACCCTTTAACCACTAGGCTACCCATTCGTCCCAACTGTGTCCAGAGAGATACAACATCTATGCAGATATCAATAACAATTCATGTTTGTCATAAAATACCCTTAAATTACAGAGGACTTCTCACATCACTTGCGTAAATTAGATTTGTGTTGACTTCATGACTGACTGAGTTTGGTTTTCCACCGCTTTTAGCAATATTCCAGCAACATCACGGCGGGGGACACCAGAAATGAGCTTCACACATTGTACTCATGTGGGGATTCGAACCCGGGTCTTCGGCGTGACGAGCCAGCGCTTTAACGACTAGGCTACCCCACCGCCCCTTGACTTCATGAACATACCACTATCCTTAATGTCACAAAATGAAGGCCTTCATACAATATTTCCTCTCCAATCAACTATCTCAACAAGTCACAAAAAACATCATTTTTCTTGACAATGGCGTCAGCAAGGTCACATGACGTAGTGTCTCTTGTGATATCTTAGTTTCATCGATATCTTATTCAATATTCCAAAAGTTTCACCAGGAACATTTCCCTCTGCAATAATTCAGCTCTGCCATCTCAAACACCTCTACAAGAAACCACAAAGAAAATAGGTTTCAGGACAGTAGTATCTGTGAGGTCACATGGTGCAGTGTTTCTTGTGCCGGCTGTAGTTTGATCGATAGTTGTAAACTTTCCCACAGCAGCACTCATACACCCGATTCCTATGGACACTCATACACCCGATTCCTATGGCGTTAACATGCTTGCTTCTGCCGCTGGTGTCAACAAACACCTTATCACAGTGAGGACAGGGGATCCCGACCTTCTTCCTCCCAACTCGGTCAGTAAGAGACAAACATTCTAACTGGTACTGATCCTGTTGGAAGGAAAGATATTGGCCCAATCCCTGCAAACCTGAAAACAACAAGAAGTCAAGTTCTAGTTGTTGTCGATTCTTAAAGAGAGTGTGGAGTTGTTGTTTTGGTTGAAAGTATGTGCACACTGTGATCCTAAATGAAACTAGTGTTTAGTGAAAAATACCAAGTCCACATGACTTTGAGAGTATTGGACAATGCTTACACATACTATCATCCTTAGAACTAGTTAGTGTATCACTAGTATGCTTCAAAATGTGAGAAGCGACACCCTGTATCTTTGTAGCATCGATTCTAGACATGAAAGAATAACACTACACAACTTACAAATTAACTCAAGCTCATCAGAAAATCACTTATGGTTTCTCACTCGGATATAGCCGGAGATAGAAACTAATATTTAATGAAACAGCCATCAACACTCCAAAAACGTCATTCTGACATTAACCTCGTGAAGATCAATGTTTGGTTTGGTCACAAGTACAAACACTATTTAACTATCATAAATCGAATCTTTGTAAGGCATTCAGAGGTGAATCTTTTCTAGTGCCCTTATCATTAGCTTGACTAAGAACTAAAAATATACTCTGAAACGTTGTGTACATATAAACCCCACAGCAGCTGACATCCGAATTCTCTCCATCATAAACTGGAACTGTGAACCCGACACAAGTGAGTCAATGAGCGAGTATGATTTTACGGCAGTTTTAGCAATATTCCAGCAACATCATGGCGGGAGACACCAGAAATGGGCTTCACACATTGTACCCATGTGGGGAATCGAACCCGGGTCTTCAGCGTGACGAGCGAACGCTTTATCACAATGCTACCCCACCGCCCACCAAATACAAGAAACAAAACGGGAACAAGTAGCCACTGTGTTGACCAACAAGGAATTGAGTGATGGTGTAAGGTTACACGGCCAACAATGAAAGCACCTGACTGACAAGTTTGAATGTAAAATCATCGCGAACACAAAGAGTAAATATAGTTCAGAAGTGTGTGTGAGTGAGTGAGTGAGTGAATGATGTTTAATGTCACAGCCACCAACATTCCAGCGCCACTGAAAGTTACCAAGTGAGGACCAAGCAAACCAGAGAATGAAACCAGGAACAAAGATTCACACTTAATTATTTTTATAAAATCACTGAGCCTGATTAGGCTCTGAAAAAGAAGAAAGACTCTGGGCTCAAATTTTCTATTTTGTGAATATAATTTAGGAGACGTTTTTTGTGTGTTAAATATGTTCTGAGATGGGATGTTATTTACATCCTTTACAGATCGAGCCCAAGTCGGTTACCTTACACATCAGATCTTTATTTCAAGACTAACAAGAACATACATATAAAACTGCCATTATTGTGTCGGAGATATTTTGTCTGGTAGTTAAAGGCATTTCCACACACATCAGATCTATATTTTGAGTGAAAGAACAACTTAGACAATATGACCTGTTCGTATAAACATGAAACATGTCTTCTCGAGTCGAAAATAATTTGTCTGGTAGTCGCAGACCTTGCCATGAACAGATCTTTATTTTGGGACAGAAAACACCTATAAATGTCATTACTTTAAACAAAAGTTTTCTTGGTTAACAAGACAAGATCACTTCATATATACATTGCGCACGTCTTCTGTTTGTAGATGTTTCCATAGGCACAACGACATCAGATCTTGAGGGAAAGATTAACACATATTAACTTGTCATTACTTTGAACAAAGGTTCTGTTGGCCAACGAAGACAACATGACCTGTTCATATACACATGGAGCCTGTCTTCTTGTGGCGGAGATAGTTTGTGTGGTAGTGTAGACCTGTCCATGAAGACTATATCAGATCTTTATTTTGAAAGATCACACCTAAAGCTGTCATAACTCTGAACAAAGGTTCTCTTGGCTCACGAAGACAACATGACCTGTTCATATACACATGGAGCATGTCTTCTTGTGGCGGAGATAGTTTGTCTGGTAGTTGTACACCTTCCCACACACACAGTGATAAAGCATGTTGTTATGTATGGCATTAATGTGGATGCGCCTAGCACTGCTATCGGCAAACACTTTATCACACTGAGAACATGGGAAGCTGCGCTTTCCTTTGTCAGTTTTCAGGAGGCCCAAAGAGAAGCCTATGTTAGAATAAAACGCACGAGGAATCCCGAACCGATCCTGATGGGCACCACCATAGACTCCGAAATCATTCCCTGAAAGTAACAAAAAGTGTGGTTCTAATTTCTTAATTTACATGTTCATGAGTCAATGTTACTCTAGGATGAGGGTTCTCTCAAGGTTAGCCTCACTGAAGGCCAACGGAACAGGAATTGGCTTCAACAATCAGTTTGTTCTGAAGTGCAAGGTACTGTCATAAACACATGCATGTTCAAACCACTGGCAAGATGCAAGGGTTGTCTCAGTGTAGGATTGAGACCATGCAGATAAAGGATGGTTATTTGTTACAGAGTCCAATAAAACAAATAGATCTATGTGATAGTGCTGGGAATTGGTTGAAATCTCACAATTGATGATTGCTTCATTACCAACGAACAATCATCGAAAAAAAATGGTTAGCGTCATTTTTCAGATTTTCCTATCCAGGTTGTTATTGCAGATATGTATAACATGATGCAACTTGCTACTTTAAAGTGATGACTAATATATCATGAACATAAATTTCCCGGAGTCTTTTATCCCAAAATCGTTTATGTTCGATTATGAGAAAATGTGATCGATTGTTTGGTCGTTTGGTCACAGCGACCAATCTTCGATTATTTCAATTAATCGGAACACCACTACTATGTGATAATGAGGATGATCCTCTCAGATGAATCAGAATCAGAATCAGATGACAACCCAGAACCATAATTCAAGATGACCACGAAAACAACTTATACGAAAACCTTCACCTATAGTGTCCAGTTGTTCTGAAAATCGGTCCAGAGTTCT